TGTGTGTGTGTGTGTGTGTAAGAGAGAGAGACTGAAAAATAGAGAGTAAACTTTTCAAAGAATGACCCCAAGGTCTATAGACAATTAATTAAAGAAATATGTTGGATGTTACAAGAAGCAGCTAGATGTTGTTTGGAAATTTGTTGTTGTTGTTGTTATGTGCCGTTGAGTCATTTCCGACTCATAGCGACCCTATGCACAACAGCCTTAAACCCTGCTCTATCCTGCTCCAACCGCAATGAGGGAGCGATAATAAAAGAAAGATAGAGGCAGATAACCCAAAACTAATATAATTGTTCTATTGTCATTGAAGGCAAAAGAGTCTTTCATTTATAATTTCTTTTTCCTTGATTATCTTAGTGTGTTGTTATTAAGTGCCATCGAGTTATTGGCAACTCATAGCGACCCTGTGAATGAAAGCCCTCGACACTTGAGTGCATGACTTTCATCCTTTTTCCAGGTTCATAGGGTTTCCAGAGGCAAGCTATTATGAAAGTGGATGCCACTCCTCCTTCCAAGCTTTTCTTAATCGGGAAGCACCACCAAACACTGTGCACCAGGGTAACCATTATCACATTTGACACATCAGTGTCACAGTGTCACTTAACTTATAGGCTTCTGGGTTGTCTTCCTCTTATTAAAAGGAAAAAGTAGAAATGGAGAAAGACTAAAAGATCTTCTCCCAATTGTTCATTTTTTGTTGTTGTACATGGTCACAATCAACTCAAGATAATCCTCTAAGATGGAGTAGAACTTCCCCTGAGGGCTTCCAAGAATATAATCTTTATAGAAGCAGACTACTTATGTTTCTTCTGTGAAGCTAGTGGAGGATTGAAATTGCCAACTTTGGGGTTAGCAACCCAAGAGGTAATTCATTATGCAGAATGCCCTATGAGAAGCTTCCCTAGGATCCTACACAACCTAGTTTGCATCTTATCAACAGCCCGCATTGGGTGTAGTAGAGGTGAGGCGTTCCAGTCCTCAACCAGGTATTTTGCTACACTAACTAAAATGGGATTTATTACTGAAGACGAGTAACTGGAAGTCTTTTCTATAATAGCAGAAAAACAAACAAGACAGAGATGTCTAGTGAATGAACCAGAAGTAGCATCCTGGGTAGGATTTGCCGTGCATGTGTTTGGAAGAAAGGAATAAAAAAACTGGAAAAGACCATAGCTGTGATCAGAGAATAGGAATATGAGGATTTAGGATTGCAGAGGTTGGGTAGCTTTTCAGAAGCTGAGATCATAAAAACAAACAAACAAACAAACCAAAACAACACGCCTCGATATGCCCATGAGATCAGAGAACTAACCTGAAGTATCTGTCCTGCAAAAAAAAAAAAAACACATCTTTTTGCTGGACTAAATGAAAAACCTAAACTCACTGCTAGCTGGTAAGATCTGATCCATAGAGGTCCTGTGTTGTTCTGTTAGGTGCTGTCATGTCGACTATGACTCATAGTGACCGTAGACTGGAGGACACAATAGAACTGCCTTAGAGGGTTTCTATCATTGCCTCATCTTCCCCAAGGGACCAACTAGTGAGTTCAAACCACTGACCTTTCAGTTAGTTAGAAGCCCAACTCTTAACCCATTATGCTATGGTGTCTGGACAGCAGCACCTCAGCTGAGGACTTCATGTGCCTCCCTTTGTCACCTACACTAGTCCACAATCGCCATCATCCACTCTGAGCCAGATTCCTCAGTCAGTGGACTGAATGCAGTGATACTGTTTGGCCAATGCATTTGATATGATGTAAGCTTTCATTTGCCTTGAAATAATTTTTTTAAACAATGATATGTTATTTACTGGGTGAAATTTTAAGAAGAAAAGATGTACGTGCTTATACAGATGAGGTATTATACTGTTTTATTTTTAACCTTAATTAGGAAAACATAATCTGTTTTTCTTTGCTCTAGTGCGAACATGCCCCCGGATCCGCCCGCCAAAACATGGCCGCGTCAGCTGCTCTGCAGTGGAAATGTCCTATAGGACAACCTGTCTGGTTACCTGTGATGAAGGGTACAGGCTCGAGGGAAGTGGAAAGCTTACCTGCCAAGGAAACTCTCAGTGGGATAGTCTGGAACCCCGGTGTGTGGGTAAGTACCCCCAAGGGTGCATGCCTTCTGTGATTCATGTCTCTTGCCCACTGATATCTTCAGGTTTTTGTGAAGACCTAATGCTTAAAACTTACTCTAGGTATAGACATGCTCCCATTTACACAGAGGCACAGCCTTCTAGAAGGAGCTCTGGTGGCTTAGTGGTAAGGAATTGCTCTGCCAATCCAAAGGCATGAGGTTCAAATACACCATCTCCTCTGAGGGAGAAAGATGGACATTCTCCTGTACGATTTACTGGCTCTGAAAACGTGTTGGAGGGTCAGCTATGAGTTGGTTCCAACTGGATCTTACATAATAACAACAAAGAGACATATAGAGAATTAAATTGTTTCGATACCTTCCAGGGGTGAAAAGACTTCGCCAGAATTCAAATTTTCATCTCATTAAATTGACAGCTTTATGCAGCAATGCAGTTTTAAAAATGGGCCCGATTTGAATGGATTTTCTTAAAGTAAAATGCCTGTAACTTCTTTCTTTTTCTAAATACAGTTTACCTTTCCATATTGATAAATTCAGTAATTTTCTAGTTTACTGCTTCTTATGTGCTGTCATCCCAAATGGCAATGGTAATAATAATGATGACAATAGCTAATGAACTCCTACTATGTATTGGAGTCCTTGGATATGCAAAGTATGTAGTGCTTGACTATGTTCAAGGCCACTCAGAGGTGGTTGGAAAGGAAGGTCTACTTACTTCCAAAAACCAGCCACTGGGAGCTCTATGAAGCACAGTTGTGTTTTGACATATGCAGGGTCACCAGGAGTCAGAAGCAACTCCATGGCATCTGGTTTATCTTTATTCAGCTTGGTGTATTATGTGTCAGTACAGTACAGTACAGTACAGTACAGTATCCCTCAAAGCACTGTGATGTACCATCAAATCAAAACAGACTCACAGCTGACCCTCCAGCAGATTTTCAGAGGCTGTAAATTGCATAGGAGAAGATTGCCCATCTCTTTCCCTTAGGCCGACTGCAGGGATTAACGAGGGCAGCTGAGGCCCCACATTGGGTCACTGCAGCAGAGATCTGTGGGTGACAAGGAACCCAGGCCAGGTCCTGCTGGGATTCAGAGGCCCCAGCAGAGGTCTGCAGGCATCAGCAGGGGCAACTGTGGCCTCAGATGTGGTTCTGAGCATAGAGGCAGAGGTCTCTTGGCAATGAGGAGCCCAGGCCAGGCTCCGGTGGGATCCAGAGACCCTGGGCAGAGGTCTGCAGGCATCAGTGGGGGCTACTGCAGCCATGCTTTGGTTCTGAGCACCAGAGCAGAGGTGTGTGGTCAATAGGGAGCCTAAGCCAGGCCATACGGAGTGCCAGACCTAGGGGCCTTTGGATTTGCTTTAAGAGCCAGCACTGAAGATCCAGCTGTACCACTGTCTATGCCAGTGCCCCCATCCAAGACTCCATCCTGCCATGTTGCCATAGGCCTCAGCTGTGATCGTAAAAGAGTATCCTGTGCCATGGTTTCTATATGCAGGATTGTCTATGGTTTACTTTTAGAGGCACAACACCTATCTGTCAGTTCGATCATTGGATAATGGTTTGCATGCTGCCAATTACTTTATCTGTATCGGTTTGCGTATTATTTGCTCGTATTAATCCAGCACTTTTCTGTCAGTTTTATTGGTGTAGCTTGTAGGGTGCTCTAATGATGGAATCCATGCTGAAATAAAGATCAGTAGTCTACAGATATATTTTTTTTAATTTATGTTAGCTCCAAGGCAAAAAAAAATATGTTCTTTTTTGTCAGCTTAATGATGATCTATGGCATTTCTATTAGTAGGAACACAGATAACTTTTCCATATTTCCCAACAACAGAACACCACTGCTCCACCTTTCAGAAGCCAAAGGGTGTCACTGTGTTGCCTCCCAGCTGCGGCAAACAGCCAGCCACGCCTGGGACTGTCTGTCAGTTAAGTTGCCGCCAGGGATTCCTTTTATCTGGAGCTAGAGAAGAAGTGAGATGCACCACCTCTGGAAAATGGAGTACCAGAGTTCAGACAGCTGTTTGTAAAGGTAAGACATCTATCAGGTAAAAATCCCAAATTTCTAAATAGTCAGTGCAGGACTGTTCATCTTCATCCTCAGAGAATGTTCATCGGCCCCTAACTTTTGCTGCAAGCCAATAAGAAAATATGAAATGTTGTTACCCCAATATATTCTGTATATATTCTGTGAGGTTTCTTGTTCAAAATGGCAGACTTATTATTGTTAATGCCATACAAAGACAAGGGCATAAGAAATTAAAATAATGATAATGTTAGGACTGGTAATCAAGTAAGTTTTCCAGCAGCAAATGAAAATCTTTGAAAGAAGCAATGATGTCGGCCTAGAGACTAAGGTGCGCCTGATCCAGGCCATGGTCTTCACAACTACTTGCTATGCATCAGAGAACTGGACAGTGACCAAGGATGACAGAAGAAGAGTCAATACCTTTGAGTTGTGATGCTGGAGAAGAGTATTGGACATACCACAGACTGCCAGGAAAACAAATAGTTCTGTCTTGGAGAAAGTGAAACCAAGTTTCTCCTTGGAGGCTAAGATTTTGAAGCTTTGTCTCACATACTTTGGACACATGGCCAGGAGGGACTGGTCCTTGGTGAATTGCTCAGAACAGTGGAGGAACAATGCAGGAAAGGAAGACCCCAGATGAGATGGATTGACACAGTAACTGGGACAGTGGGAGTAGGTGTGTCAGAGTCAGTGAGACTGGCTTCAGAGCTGGTTGCTATGCATTGCAAGTAACTCAACATCGTCTAACAACAACAACATTTCACATAGGTAAGACTGGATTTTTTGAAGTCTACATCCCACCACATTCACAAGAGGAAATAACATCTTCCCTGTAGAACCAACTGTTGTGAAAAAGGAGCTACTGAGATTAGAAAGTATTTTTAGAAATAAAAATTTCTAAAATCCTTATCTCTAAGAAATTAAAAACATAAAGTGAATTTTTCTGCAAAGAATATTTGCATTTAGAAGACAAATGTTGAGCATTCTTTTAGAATGGAGAACTGGTACACATAGAAGTTAAATATCATATTGTTCAAACCAAAAAAGTGAAAGTTTAGAGAAACCAGTCTGGAAACTCCAGTCTCCGTATGAGCTCCAACAGAGAGGAAAATTATTTTCCTATCAGTAGAATAAAGTTCTAGAGAAGTTTGAAATTTATGTCAGTAATAGTCCCTTCCTGTTGAGGTAGAATGACTTCACTACTCCTGGTGGAATTTCTGAGAACTCAAGTTAATAGGGCCAGTCCTTGGAAAAAGATATTCTGGGAAAGGTGGAGAGTCAGAGAAAGAGAAGAGAAGACGGATTGACGCAATGACTGTTAACAATGAACTTGAGCATGTCAGGGATCTTGAGAATCATGTAGGCTAGGACAAAGTTCTGACATGTTATTCATGGGGTTGCTCTGAGTTGTAGCTAACTAGATTGTAATCAAGAACAAGTTTAATAGTGAGCTTTGGTGACAGAGTCCAAAGAAGTTGCTCTGCTAATCCAAAGGTTAGATCATAGGGGGTTGCTTTCCTAATACTCTCTGCTGGTTTGAATTCACTAGTAGCTCCTCAGAGGGAGCGCTGGTGGCCTCTTGATAAGAAGCGACTTCTCGCCTCTAGGCTACCAGATCTTCCTAAGAAGATACTTGTTGTTGTTGGGTACTATAGAGTCGGAACCGACCCGTAGCAGACCCTCCAGTGGGTTTTCAGGGGCAGTTGATTGCACAGGAGGAGATAGCTTCAAGTTAGAAATACAAAATCTAACAGGATTTTTTTTTCTGATGTGATTGATATGAATCTATGTGGTTTTGAGCCATCTGATTCGATGTCCACAGTATAAAGTTTCAAACCACCAAAAATATCAAACTCATTTGTTGTTTGTTTTGATAGTACATTTTAGTACTAATGAATTCCATTTAAAAAGCCCTGGTCTTTGATGTTATTCTTTCCCATGATACTCAATGGTTTTTTTAATTTCTGGGGATCCCCCCTATTTATTTCTTTATTTAATTAAAAATATGTAGTAAACATGTATTTTAGAAAGGCATTCTATAAGACAATGGAACAAGAGATAGACTGGCTTTCAAAAACCATTCATTCTGTTGGCAAGAAAAGCCAATTTCAAGATGCTAAATCAAGTGTTACGGTTTAGGAAGTATAGAGAATTATGACGACTTACGGAGTGAGCACATAAAATGAGTCTGGGGAGTCAGAAAAAGCTTCCTGATGCCCAAGTGGAGAGTAAAGGGCAGGAGTTACCCACACACACGAGGGAGAGGGCCGTGAAATCAAGGCAGTGAAAGAACATGTGCACAGGCCTAGTACAAGGAGGGCCGTGGCCCACGTAGGAGGCTGACAGTAATTCTGTTTGGAGCATGAGGTCCAGCAGGGAGGTTGGTAGGAACTGAGGTGAAGAGATCAGCTGCTTCCAGTGCAGGAACCAGGCTACAATGAGTTCTTGTGAAGGAGGCTGTTACAACTCAACCATTCAAGAATATGGTCATAGAGTATTCTTACAATAATGTTTTTATCTTTCTTAGTACTTAGAATTAAATATCATAAATGTGTGTTTTTCCTGAGTCAGATGTGGAGCCTCCTCAAATTAACTGTCCTAAGGACATAGAAGCGAAGACTGAGGAACAGCAAGACTCAGCTAATATTACCTGGCAGATCCCAACAGCGAAGGATAACTCTGGTGAAAAGGTAAGGCTTGTGCAAACACCTGCAGATTCTTAACATGGATTGTAAATACCCTACATCTTATATGTGTGATTAGGAGCATTTGCTATTACACAAATGAATTGTTTTTTACACCCACTTGTAAATACATGTAAGTTGTGCCAGCCAATTTATACATATTTAAAATATGTTGGAGAAGTTAAAAACCAAAAGCAACTGTTCTAGTAATTGTGCTGGGCATATTTACAATCAGAGATTTTTCATTTCTTTTTCCTATTGCACATGTGAGCTGCTGCTGGCCTAGTGGTGAGAAACTGCACTGCAATCCCAAAAGCATGAAGTTCAAATCCACCAGCTGCTCTGTGGATCCTAAGTGATTTAATTCTGTGTGACTTATGGTTTAATCCTATGTGATTAAACTGCCTCTGAAAACCAACTGGAAGGTCAGCTATGGGTTGTTTTCGACTCGATGGAACACAGTTCCAGTGCACATGTGACGCATAGACCTGAATGTGCTTTATTGTTGCTGTTCTTGTTATGTGCCTTCAAGTTGGAACTGACTAATAGCTGACCCTCCCATGGGCTCTCAGAGTCAGTAAATTGCATGAGAGGAGATGGTCCATCGTTCTGCCTCAGAGCAGCTGATGGTTTCAACCCATGTGTCTTTGGGTTGACAGCGCAACTCCTTAATACTAGGCCACCTTAGCTCCCTGCATATATGCTATAGATGCTTAGTATATTGGGCACACTGTCTTGTATGGTTCTACTTTCCATTCAAACACCCATGAAGCTATTCTGTATCAACAGAATTTCCTCTAAGAAAACTGCAGAGATGTATTCAAAGGCATAATGAGAATTCGCACTAAGCATAGCTTTTGTTTACATTGACACATGGGTGACATAGTTTTTAGTCTTTGAGTAAAGACAGTCTGAAGCATTAAGCATTTCTTCCTTTTATTTTCTGCTTCTAGCTCAGCATCTCAAAGGTTACACCAACTTATAAATCAGGTTTTGTATCTTTTATAAGCTAGGGGCCTAGTGAGTTGCTCAGAGCTGTTTCTCCTAATCAGCACCTCCTTTTTGCTTCATTTGGAGGCAGTTTCCTGTGCACATTTAATACACCCTAAGTTTATCAACTATTTGACCCTCATAGTCCCAATTATTTACTTACCTACCGCTGCTCCAACAAAAAACTGCAAGTTGGTGGTTTTTAGAACACAAAATATTCTTTTCTCTCAGTTTCCCACTGCCCTTGAGTTGGTTCTAACTAATAGCAACCCTCCATTAAGTTTCCAAAACTATAGCTCTTTCTACCACAGAGAGGCTGGTGGATCCAAACCACTGTTCCTTTGGTTAGCAGTCCAACATCTAATGTATGATGCTACCATAACTCATTTTCTCTCAGAAATCCACACTCAGGGTGCTGGCTCTGATAGAAGTCTTTCTTTATTAGCTCTTAGAAGATACTTGTCTTTTTACAGCATCTTTTTCTCAATTTCTTAACTATCTTCATGTGGCATAGCAATGTCTTCCTCCATCTCTGCTTGCTTGCTTGCTTGCTTCAACTCAAACGTGACTTGTTGCTTCCATGTGAAACTGACACCTAGCTGGCTCCCCAGCTCCGTTTCTGAGGCTGTAAATCATGCAGGGGGAGATTGCTCACCTTTCTCCCCTGGGGCACCTAGTACTTTTGAATCACCAGAAAGGTGGCACTTTTGAGTTAGCAATCCTGCTCCCTAAGAACTGTGCCACCAGAGCTCTCTTGTTGGTGTGTACCATGCGACTGGAATTGACCCAAAGCTGACTCTTCAGCAGGTTTTCAGAGGCAGTAAATCGCACAGAAGGAGATTGCTTGTTTTTCTCATCTGGTGGATTCACACTGTGTGCCTACAGGTTGGCAATACCACCAGCACTTCCCTTACACTACTCTTCTAGATCATCAAAGAACTCTCTAAGTCTCCTTTATCGTATCCCCAAAGAAATCTTCTAAAAATATAAGATATTGATTCTGCCTCATTAATATAATAAAGAAAATGTTTCCAAGTGGAATTATAACTCCTGCATAAGGATTTTCAACACATATTTTGAGGGGCCTAACTCGTTTCCTAGCACCATCCCAATGGTTTTATTCTCAATGTGATAAAGTCTATAAATTATAGAGGATAAAAATTTACAGGGCATAGATTACAGAGCACGAAAATCCAGCACACGATCACTTTCTTAAAGGAGAACAGAACAAATACAATACACAGAGAGGTGCACCAGAAGAAAACCTCAGTGATCTAAGGAAAGTCAGAGAATCTGCAATTACAAACAACTCGTGGGCTGCCAGAGAATAATAGTTAACAAGAGAAATATTTACACATATTTTGATAAAATCTTCAATCTTAAATATTTTTTAAAAATTCCACCTTAGAAGCGGGAAAGCCTAGATACCTCAAATGAAGAAAATTCAATCTGGCTTTGGACTCTTTCATAACAACATACCTAATCCAAAAGACATGGTAATAAAAATTATTATACTTTGTAAATGAAATGTTGTACTATCTATCCATAAAATGTTAAGGAGTTTCATTTAGTCACTTATTGCTATCAAGCAGGAACTAGTTTGACCGTGGATTTTCAGAGACTGCAAACAGATGGGAAGAAATTGCCTACTTCTGTCTCTTGATGGTAAATTTAAGTTGACATCACAACTCCCTACTCACCAGGGCACCAGTGTACCCTGAATCTCTCTCATTGGAAATTTATTTGAAGGAAATAACCAAAGTATTTTTAAATTAGACATGAACAAATAGTATCTTCTACAGCCTTCAATATGGATTGAAGCTCAACATCAAGAAAACAGAGATTCACACCACTGGGCCAATTGGCAGCTTCAGGATGAATGGTGAAGAGATTGAGGTTGTTAACAGCTTTAGTTTGCTTGGATCCACAATCAACACTCTTTGCACCAGCAGCTAGGAACTCAAGAGACCAGTTGCATTGAGAGGGTTGGCTGTCAGGGACCTCTTCAGAGTACTAAACAGCAATGGCATCAATCTGGAGACTAATGTGTGCCTGCTGTAGGCCATAGTCTTCACAATTGCTTGCTATGCTTCAGAAAGCTGAACAATGACTAGAGATGATAGAATTGATGCCTTTAAGTAGTGGTGCTGAATATACCATGGACTGCTAGGAGAACAAACAGGTTTTTCCTAGAGAAAATTAAACCAGGCTGCTCCTTGGAGGCAAGGATTCTGAAGCTTCATCTTACATATATTGGACATGTTGCAAGGAGGGACCAGTCCTTGGAGAGGGACATCATGCTTGGGAGCGTGGAGAGACAGTGCTAAAGAGGAAGGCCCTTGATGAGATGGATTAATTCAGTGATTGGGATAATGGGAGTAGGTGTGTCAGAGACAATAAAGTTGCCACAGGATAGAGCAGTGTTTAGGGACCGTTATATGTGGAGTCGTTATGAGTTGCAAGTGATTCCATGGCACATAACAACAAAGTTGTAAAATTTAGAACCAAATACAATGTCATTCATCTATCAGCACTCATGGAAATCAAACAAGGTGTTGCTTTGGGCAAATCTGCTTCCAGGGATCTCTTAAAGTCTTAAAAAGCAAGGATGTGTTTTTAAAGACCTAGGTGTACCTGACCTGAGCCATGGCATTTTCACTTGCTTCATATGCACATGTAAGTTAAACAATGAATAAGGAAGATCAAGAAGAATTGATGACATGGATTTGTGATATTAAATACTAAGGATACTGGCCAAAGAATAAGAAAACTTGTCTTGGAAGAAGGTGGTGTGACTTGGTGGCACATACATTAGGCATGTTATCAAGAAGGGACAGTCTTTGCAGAAGAGCACCAGGCTTAGGAAAGTGAAAGTTCAGTGGAACAGAGGAAGACCTTCAACAATATGGGTTAACATAGTGACTGTGTTACCCTAAAACTCTGGTCTAAAACCCTGGAGCCTCTAAAGACCCCGAGTTTCAAGAGAAAGACAAAATCCTTTGGAAGCATAGCCAACAGAGAAAACCAAGAGCAAATTAGGATATATTTAGAGATTTCACAAGCTCTCCCAGCAAGTGACCAAATATAGGAAAGAAAAACAAAAGCTGAAGGCCAGTGATCAGTAGGCTTGCTGATGGCCCACGATTAAAATTTTTGTTACCATTTTTATAGTTGTCCTTTCCTCAGCTAGAAATGTTGCTGGATATCATTTCCTCAGCTGGAAAAGTTAGGGGTTTTCTTTCTTCCTGCCAATCAGACATCAAGATGTCTTTCTGAAGGATCTCCTATGGTAACTCACGCCTGTTCTGTGAGTTCTAATTTCTATCCTACCCTAAATTTGTGATAGTGACAAAATAGACAAAATGGCATTAGTGCTTCCAGCTGCGTCCCTTCAACTGCGACAATAGGTTTTGTTCTTTTGTACGTAGGTTGGCTATGAGTCAGAGGTGATTCCATAGCACATAACAACAACAAGCACAGCATATGTTTGTTGTGCAGATTGATATGAAAACATTTAAAAGTCATCTTAAGTTTTAAAGACTATGTTGTTACCGTTGTGTGCCATCAAGTTGGAACCGACCCATAGCTTACCTTGGAACCAGTTTTCAGAAACTAGGAATCTTTTGGCCGAGATTGTCCCTTTCTCCCGTGTAGCCGCTGGAGGATTCTAAGTGCCTGTCTTTGGGTTGGCCTCACAACTCCTTACTAGTAGACTACCAAAGCTTCCCAAAGACTCGGTAGTATCATGGAAAAAAAATTCTTAAAATATATTAAGAAACATCTCATGTGTACTAGCATGCAAAGCCTATAAATTATGTAAATAGAACAGTATGGAAAGAAATACAGCAAAAGATGTGCCTGATTTTCTTTTTGTCCTTTTCCACAACATGTGATATAGTTTGTCCTACATTACTATACTTGATTAATAATTTATATGAAACAAATAAACTATTAATTTTCACTTTCAACATATTTATCTCCAAAAGGTGTCAGTTCACGTCCATCCAGCCTTTACTCCACCTTATCTTTTCCCAATTGGAGATGTTGCTATCACATACACGGCGACTGACCTGTCCAGCAACCAAGCCAGCTGTACTTTCCATGTCAAGGTTATTGGTAAGTCTCCTGTAAATACATTTGGATAGGTTTATAATTAGGAAGGTAACTAACGAGTTGTCTAGGCGGCTAGCGAGTTGTCCTGCCAAACCAAAAGCAGATGGTTTGAATCCACCAGCTGTTCTGAGGAAGAACAATAAGCGATCCCTTCCCATGTGATTTACTGCCTCTGAAAACGTGCTGGAGGTCAGCTATGAGTCAGTTCCAATTTGAAGGTACATATAACAACAACAGCAACATAAAAATAACCTAATATCCCAGGACCTTTCTGTGTCCTTTGTCTTCTGTAACTTCCTTTTGACTCATTCGTCCCACTGGCATTGAGTTTGTGTCCTTCAAGGAATAGCACCTCCTGGCCTTCCAGCAGTATCTCACACTCATCCCATTTTGCATGTTGTACCACATGACTAAGACATCTACACTTCAGTCCCTTCTTTTAGTCATCATTTAGTCTGTCTCGGCCCTTCAGATAAGAGACTTATTGTGGGGATATCTAGTTTTGTGATCACTCTTCTTCAGCTCATCTAGGAAGGTTCTCTTGACCTCCCTGTGGGTCAGGTCAACTGTTATGAGCAGACCCCTGTATACAGCACTGCCTTGCACTCAGCTTGTGCTCATGATGGAACCTAGCATTTCTTCTTTACCAGACCAAGAGCAGGATAGCAAGAAATAGCTCTTTCTTTTGATGCTCTAAGGGACTAGGGATAAAGTATCCCTCAGTATCCCTCGTTAGTGACAAGGAGTTGCACTGCCAACCCAGAGGCATGTGGTCTGAATTCACCAAGTGCTCTAAGTGAGAAAGATGTGAAATTTCCTCCCATGTGGTTTGTAATCTCAGAAGACTCACTAGGGGTCAACTATTAAGTCATTTCTGATTAGATGGCACATAACACAAACAACATTATTAAAGAGACCTTTTGTCTTACAAGGTCAAGATTTCAATCAGCACAAGAATATCTCCGTTCTTTCTCTCAAAGAGCTATATCACTTTCAGATCTCAGCAATGACTTCTCTTTCTGATTCATGTTCTTCAGATGTAGAACCACCTGCCATAGATTGGTGCAGATCTCCACCTCCAATCCAGGTCTCTGAGAAAGAGCATGCTGCGACCTGGGATGAGCCACAGTTCTCAGACAACTCAGGTGAGAATTCAGGGTAACCTGGAAATATATTTTACTAAAGGAATAATAAGTTAAAGGATAAAAGAGAAAAGCAAAGCAGATTTTAACTAAGTAGAATGAATACTTGTAGAATGAATAAAGGAATATGGTTTAAAGCTAGGATGATTGTACAATTTAGCATTACTAAACTATGAGGTTTTCTTTCAGGTACTAGTCAGTGGATACAAATTAAACCTGGTGTAGGTGCTATATTTTAATGTTTTCTGATAGATACATTTTATATCCAAGTTTATATTTTCCTAAAGACATAAATTATGCATCCTTTTGGTATCTCAAGCATGACGCTGTGCATTTATGTAATCCTTAAATAATTGTCAAATAAATGAATAATTCATAAGAAAGAAAAAAGAGCAAATACCACTGAACTGCACTTTAAAGGCTTTGCTAAAACCCAACAAATAGCAGTAAAATACAAATTGATAGGAGTTCTCAATTCAATTTTTCATTGTTAAAACAGATTGGCTTATTCAAGGAAAACTTTTTCTTTAGCAAGAATACCATAAGCTATTTTTCAATCTACTGTTTGCATATTATAGTAGTAATATTAAGTCTTTCTTTTCTACAAATAGCCAATATCAGTATAAATAGCTGCCCAGCTGTGTGGTATCAATAGAAGATGAAACTTGAAGTCAAATAAGGTGACTTTAAAGTGACTAAAGTTCCATAACTTAGCATCTGACCCTTCTTTCCTTCTCAGGGGCTGTATTGGTCATCAGCAGAAGTCATTCTCCGGGAGACCTCTTCCCTCATGGGGAGACTATAGTACAGTATACAGCCACAGACCCATCGGGCAATAATAGAACATGTGACATCCACATTATCATAAAAGGTATATCCCATTGCCACCAAGTCAATTCAGATTTATAGCAGCTCTGTTGGTCAGAGTAGAACCATCTCAAAGAGGTTTACAAACTTGTAACTGACATCTTTCTCTGTCGAGCAGTTGGTAGAGTCATACTGCTTACCTGGATAGCAGTTGAGAGCTTAAATTATGCCAATATGGCCATAAAAATCTCATTGATAGCACTATAAGTGATTACGGTAGTACTGTATTTTATGTGAGAGAAAATGGCCAATACACAGCAGATTGTTAAGGTTAGAATATTGACATAGCTTACTTAGCGGTCCAGTTGTCATCCACACTCATTTGTCTTGATGATAAGTATAAATATTTTCTTCCACAACATTTCTAACTTAATGTTAACATTTTTCTAGAGTTATGAAATATTATTGTCTTAATCTTATTTTGAACCCCAAGGAGACAGGTTCTGAAAACATTTAAACTTTTATACTTAAAAAAGTATAACATTTGTTAAATAATGTTATACTTCATTTTTATTAAGAGCATGCAAAAATATAAGCTGAAGTAAGAAATGCTCTTATTTTTTTCATAAAAGATGCACAACCTCTAATTACACAGAAGTATAGCTTTTTGGCATGTGCCTCCTCAGGAGCTACAAAGCCGACCCTGCTACAATTCCTCTTCAAAGTGTAGTGGGGACGTTTTTCTCAAAAGACTAAACAAGAGGGATCCTTTATGGAATTCATTTTCATCTTGGAATTTAATTTCTGTTTCTCATAACATCCTATATGAAGGTACGGTTTCCTCTGCGCAGGTTCTCCCTGTGAAGTTCCATTCAGACCTGTAAACGGGGACCTTTTATGTACTAAGGATCATGCTGGTGTTAACTGTACCTTAAGTTGTTTGGAAGGCTATGATTTCACAGAAGGATCTACTGAGAAGTATTACTGTGCTTATGAGGATGGGATCTGGAAACCACCGTATTCCACTGAATGGCCAGATTGTGCTAGTAAGTTTTCGTTTTATTCTGAAGTTTTTTAGTGTGTAAAATAAAGCATTAAAGAGGGAAATTGCCTTTCTATATGGATCAAGTTTAATGGGTAGAAGTGGTACCGGAAATTTAAGATGTTTCTGCATAAGAGAAGTACTCATTCTTGAACTGAAGATACTAGCCTACCAGAGTGTTGTTATAAACAAAATTCCTATACAACAAGGTTCAGCTGAATGCAAAACCTTCTTGACCCTCTCATTGGTATTTACCAGAAATACTTACAAGAGATGATTTGTAAAATGAAATGTATAGTCATATAGTCTGTTGTTGTTGTTGTAAAGTGCCATCAAATCACAGACAGCTCATAGTGGCTCTATGAAGGAGAGTCCTTGATGCTTGGGTGCTTTTCATCCTCTCTCCAGATATAGTCTGTAGAAGAACATATTTAAATAAAAATCTATTTATCTGTTAAATGAAATATAACAGTATACTCCCTTTAGATTTGAGTTAGATAGAAGCTAAATTGTAACCTTAAATCTGTATTTTTTTAAAAAATGATTTCTTTTTTTAGTGCAAGTAAATATTCTCTGAATTGTGTCTTGATGAGAACTGTGCATGGTATTTTCACAAAAAAAAATTAGGTTCAACAAACTTGATGTAATTTGTCCAAAATTAGAGAAATCAATAGCAGCAATATTACTCATCTTTTCTTGGTTTTAGAGGTTAAGATTTTAATAGCAATGTTGTTTCTATAGAGGCATTGTCTGTGAATATTTTGGAAATCTTGAGTCTAACTACACAAGAATCTGCATAGAAATTTGTCTGTGTGGAAATTACATTTCCAAGAAAAATGGTTGCACATAATATGTAGAAAACTTTCAATTCCACGTGCTTCTTAGAAGCGAGTATGGTGAAACTTCATCCTACTAACTTTGAATATGTCTAACAGGAGGGACCACTCCTTTGAGAGAAGGATATCGTACTTGGTAAAGTCTAAACCAAAAGCCCAACCCACCTCTGCCAAGTTTATTCCAACTCTTGAGGACCTTTCGTCAAGTTTCTGAGGCTGTAAATCCATATGGGAGGAAATTACCCACCTTTCGCCAGCACAGTAGCTGGTGGATTCAAACTGTTGACTCCTGGTTATCACATAATACACTACGCTATCAGAGTGAAGAGTCAGCAATAAAAAGAGAAAGACCCTCAAAGAGCCTTCCTCTCTTTGAGTACAACGATGAGCTCAAACACAGGCAATTCTGAAGACGGCATAAACCAGGCAGTGTGCCTTTCAACAAGGTTGCTATGAGTGGAAATTTACTCAGTGGCACTCAGTGACAATAATGACTGAAAATATAATTCCTGTCTTTGACCTAGCCTGAGTTTTTTTACAAAATTCTCAAGAATATATGAAAACATTTTTTATGTCCATAGTTACCTTAACCATTTGCTTTCTCATAGGACTGGAAGTTTTAAAAAGCATCTATCAAAAGCAAACTCTTGTCACTGCATAACCGAGCATGGTGTTACTTGCCTCATTCTTTATTAAAGTCAATGAATGCAAGTAATTTTCCTAAATGATCAATAAATGCCTTGAAATTTTTCTTAACACTCAGTGACTATCTAGAAATTTTCCTTAACTATCATCATAAGTCTTTCTAGAAATCTTATAAATTGTGTCAGATTTAAATACCAGGTTATACTGATTTCATAAGAAGTGAAATCTTTGGAAGGCACTAACCAATTGAAGCTGTTTGTTCAACATTTTCCAGTAAAGCGTTTTGCGAACCATGGGTTCAAGTCCTTTGAGATGCTTTACAAAGCAACTCGCTGTGATGACACGGAGCTCCTGAAGAAGTTTTCTGAAGCTTTTGAGACCACCCTGGGGAAAATGGTAAGTCAGTAGGACTCCATTATTGTCTTTCATGTTTGAAAGGACAAGGTTGAGCTTTTCATAGTCTCTTGATCACAAACAACTGAAATTCCTCAACTTTAACTCCTTTGGGTTGTTTTGTGGTACAGACATGTCCCTAATATTTTAGAAGTACTAATAAGTTTTGGACTTCTGGAATGAATTGTAAGTACATCTGCATTAAAACTTTTGTGAATTTTTTTTTAACTTGCTGAGTCAGAAAGTAAGAGAAGTCTAGGATCCATGTGGTTTGAGAATACCTCCTGTGTTATTTAAAGTCTGACAAATGGGCCCAACACAGTAGGATGCATTTTTTCATATAATAGGGAACTAGTTGAATGTTAAGATGCTTTTCTTTTTTATACATTTTTGCTTAGGAATATTTAAGTGATGGACTGGTGGCAAATAGAGCAAAATATTTAACTCCGTTGAACATCTTGAAAGAGAAAAAAATGTGTTTTATTTCTATCCCGAGTAGAATGAATAGCATTTTATTTACTTACTAATAAGCATTATATAATGTAGCTTGTAATGGGACAAGCACTGATGTAAATGCATAAAAACATTAGCACATTCATTTAAAAAATTATTGTTAACTACAATTTAAATGCATCCTGTAGAACTGGTGCGTAGGGCCGGAACGAATGTCGCGTGGTTTTTTAGGAGAGGCTATTCCTTGGAACGGGACATCATCCTTGGAAATGTAGGTCTTGGGGCAGAATAGATTCTGGTGGTTCTCACTTTTGCATCCTGTCTGCAGTGAACACCTTTGTCTCAGTTAATAGTTTCGTTCCATCATTTCCAACTTCTTCATGTAGGCATGTAGGGATCTTGGAGCACCAATATGGGTCAGGGCCATAAGACCCCAGATGTGCTTATGAGGGCACAAAACTGACCAATGACTTCCTTCCTTACCGCAGATATGGGCACTCTTTAGATCAGTATTCATATTGCAGATCAAATGGATCCACACCCAGAAGCTCTGCTAGGAAAACAAACAGATTTGTCATGGAAAGGGTTAAACCGGGTGGCTCCTTGGAGGCGAAGATTCTGAGGCTCCGTCTAACATATTTTGGACATGTTGTGAGGAGGGACCGGTCCCTGGAGAGGGATATCATGCCTGGGAGGGTGGAGGGACAGCGCAGGAGAGGAAGGCCCTCTATGAGGTGGATTGATTCAGTGACTGGGATTTTGGAATGGGAGTGTCAGAGACAGTGAGATTGGCACAGGACAGAGCGGAGTTTAGGGCTCTTGTACATAGGGTCACTATGAGTCGCAAGCAACTCGACGGCACATAACAACACAACAACAACAATTTAAATATATTTATTACACTAATTTCCAAAGAAATTAAAAAATACTTTAATATTACTAGCAAACTAAGAAAATTATAATATTCATGAAGTCAGCATTGCTATAAATCTCTATTTGAAGGCAACAATATGAGTCCTATTAATTATACTCTACCCCAAACAAGTCCTTAAAAATCGAACCCAGAGTGCTTGTTGTCTCAAATTATATTTGTCTGAAATTGTGTGTATTAGAGTCAATGTATACCATAACTGAATTGTAGTTACACTTCTTATAATTGGTATTGTAAACCCAAATGTGATTTTAAAACATATGTTCATTCATTTAACAAACGTTTGGTACCTGTCTTCTATCCTAGGCACTAGAGGTAACTCTCATTCACGGCATATGAGTCATTTCCAACTCATAGCAACCCTCCAACAGGTTTCTGAGGCTGTAAATCATGACGGGAGGGGGCTGCCTATCTTCTCCTCCCACTGGTGGATTTAAACCACCAAGACTCATGGCAGTTAGTTAGCAGTGCAGCTTGCTATGAATTAAGCCATCCAATCTCCTTGCAATAATATAGATATGAATAAAATTGCCAAGAATATCAGGAAACTCTGGGGTCCTGTCTCTTCTACTGAAGAAGACATAAAGGCGAAGGGAACAAAGAACTTTGGGGTCTTTTCTACTTAAGAAGACGTAAAGGCTCGGGGAACAAAGGTCTCATCTCAAGTACAGGCAGATGTGTCTGACACTTTATCTTCTTCATCTTTTTCTTATAGATCCCAACCTTTTGTAATGATGCTGATGACATTGACTGCAGACTGGAGGACCTGACCAGAAAATACTGCCTAGAATATAATTACGACTACGAAAACGGCTTTGCAATTGGTAATTCAGTTATTTAGTGTTTGTAATTTGCAGTGCTAATCTGCAAAATGAGAAATAATCCCAGAAGAATAACATATATTAAAAAATTAATCTTTATAAAATTTTCATTAAATTGCTAATAAAGTTAACTTTTATTAATTACTTTTAATAAAGTATTCCCAAAATTCTCATCAAAATTCTTCAGAGTGACAAACCACTGAGAAAATGAACTCAAATTATGATTGGACAATTTTACTTACTTAAAAGAAGATGTAATAACTGTGAAGTACACACACCAACTTCATATGGTTGTTAATTCATTCACATTACAACAGATATCCTTTTTGTTTCTGACGCTAATATTAGTAATACTTCTTTTACTACTGATTGTTGTCTTAGACTTAAAGTTAAAAAAATCATATATGTTTATTAAGAAATGCTAAAAATCCCAAATTATAAAGTTAAGATAATCCTCAACACTAACTATTACATGTATATAATTCTCTGTGGGTATGTCCTCATACTGTGTGTTGTTGTTGGGTATCATCCTATCTACCATGACTCATAGTGACCCTATGAATGACAGCTCTGAACCCTCCCTAGGTCCTATTTAGTAATTGTTAATGTTTTAATTAACATTATATTGAGAACATTTTTATGTCATGAGATGCTCTATACACATACAGCATATTCTTTCTCCAGTCAGTTTACCATTATTTACATAAACAATTTACTGTTGGTGGGATTTTGAGTTGTTTTTAATTTTTAGCTGTTATAAATTCTTAGTGAACATTGTGGATATTCAGGCTTTAGATGGGGAAGAGTAAAGCAGTGCAAGTAATGGGGTTAGTAGTGGTATATTTTTAATATAACACTTCTTCGGTTACAAACCAGCCAAGTTTCCCCTCCAGTATTTTTTTAAGTAGGCAGTAAGGGTACAAAGATTTACATAAAGTGGAGTTAATCATCATCATAAAGTTATATATAAGGTAGGTGGTAGCTGACATCTAGCAAAAATTTCAAGTCCAGTTTTTTAGAGTCATGCATTTGCAAGTTATATGGCTGATGCTGAAGATAAGGCTTCTTCCTTGAATATCTTCCCTCTCATTTTCTTATTGCCATCAAGTAGAAGAAAACTCATGGCTGACCCTCTTTTGGGTGACCCAGGCTGTAAATCACAAAGGAGATTGCACACATTTCTCCCAAGCACCTAGTGGATTCGAACTGCTGGAGAGATTGCCTTTTGGGTTAGCAACCCAACTCCTTATAGACTGTGTCACCAGAGCACCCTTGCTATCTTCTCAGTAAAGTCAAAAGATCAAATAAGGTTTATAGTAACACTCTAGCAAGTCTTAAAATAATAATAGTCAATAAATATATTAATGTGTATTTGAATTAATAATAATTATGTCATTAAATTAAGAGTGAAATAAGATGCCAATTTTGACCCATCAAATAAAGACCCACTAATAAGAATTATAATGCCCAAAGTTGGCAAGGGTATAAGATATAATCATATATATTGTATGCAAAGGAGAAATTAGAGTGGAGTTGATGATGTGCGTCTACTAATCTGTAGAATGTTCATATGTTCAGGGCCAGGAATTCTATTCCAGATATTTATTATGATTAAAAAAAATCATATCAGTGTACAGAAATGTATCACATTACATAAATTCTGAGAGACATTTTTTCTTTTTCATTTTGACATCTCTGAAATTGGGTTGTGCATTCTCCTTGATCGAGTCTCAGATCTAATTAAATACTCTGTATAAGGATGTTCTAAAACTTTGAAATAACCTAGAAGTCTAAAAATAGGGAGCTGGTTGGATAGTTAGTTTGTTAGAAATAGAAAGGAATACTTTAGAATTATTAGAAATAGCATGGCAATCCCTCAGTCAAACGGGGCCCAGAGATGCTTCTGGAAGAACCATCATGATAGCCGCCCAAAGAGAACCCCAACTTCAGTTCAGACTCGTTGGTGGTTGGTGGTTGGAAAAACAACGTTAGTGAAACATCACCTGACTGGTGAATTCGAGAAGAAGTATGTAGCCACCTTGGATGTGGAGGTCCATCCCCTGGTGTTCCACACCAACAGAGGACCAATTAAATTCAATGTGTGGGATACAGCTGGCCAGGAAAAATTTGGGGGACTGAGGGATGGCTATTATATCCAAGCCCAGTGTGCCATTATAATGTTTGATGTAACATCGAGAGTTACCTACAAGAACGTGCCTAACTGGCATAGGGATCTGGTTCGAGTATGTGGAAACATCCCCGTTGTGTTATGTGACAACAAAGTGGATGTTAAGGACAGGAAAGTTAAAACAAATTCCATCGTTTTCCACTGAATAAAGAATCTTCAGTACTATGATATTTCTGCCAAAAGTAACTACAACTTTGAAAAGCCTTTCCTTTGGCTTGCTAGAAAGCTAATTAGAGAACCCTGACTTGGAGTTTGTTGCCATGCCTGCTCTTGCCCCACCAGAAGTAGTCATGGACTCAGCTTTGGCATCACAGTATGAGCATGATTCCGAGTTTGTGCAGACGACTGCTCTCCTGGACGAGGATGACGATCTGTGAGAATGAAGCTGGAGTCCTGTGTCAGAAGTCTAGTATTATAGGCAACTGTCCTGTGATGTCAGTGGTGCTGCATGTTTGTCACTTTATTATCTAGCTAAGCAGAACATGTGCTAATCTTTGGGATGCTCAGGGAGAGATGAATGAGCTTCGGAGTGAGTGTGGCAGTTAAAAAAACAAAACAAAACCCCTTCATTTTTTTGAACCTGCATATTTAGCTGTTTTAGAAGGCAGTTTCCTTCTTGAGTTTCATATTATACAAGACTGCTACAGTCAAATCACAATATTCTGTGGCAAAATCTTGTTACTGTCATTCCCATTCCTTTTTGTTTAGAACCAGAATAAAGTTGTATTTCAGCTAAAAAAAAAAAAAGAAAGAAAGAAATAGCATGGCAGATATATTTTTTACCCCAGAAATACCAAGATATGTAGTTAATTGAAAAACAATTACCAAATAATATGAATAGTATAATCTTGCTTTGTTAAAAGTGTGTTATTTTTTTTACCCAGTGTGCATACATACACACATTTGTAAGTAAAGAAAAAGTGTTAATAATAGTTATTGCAATTTGGTAGAATTGTAGATTTCTTAAATATTTTTCTTAACACATATGGTTTCATTATCTACAATAAATGTGTATCATTTATAGAAAAATATTTAAGTGAAAATTTAAAAATTGATGAGTACAGTATATTTCAATAACCATAAACATAAGTTCATCAAATAATTACTTAAAGGGCTACGCCTGTATAAATAGAATTTTATTTTAAAGCACATAACTGAGCAACATGACTAGAGTAATTTACTGAAGCTTTACAGTGAGTTAATTACTGAGTTTGAAAAATCATATATTTATTCCTTTATTCCACAATCTACAAGATAAAAATCATTCATTATACCAACTTGGAAACTTGGCTCAGAGAGATTAAACTAACTTGGGCAAGATCATAGAAACTTCCATCATAAATCAAGAAGCCAGAGTGGGAACCCAGGGTATTAATTACAGCACTTTCAGAGAATTGCACACATGTGTACTTCCTCGAGTATAATTACATGATATAAATATTTAACTATGTTCGACCTTCATAAAGTACTTCCAACCTTCAACAGATGAGGCAACCATCTTTAAAAATCCTTACAGGCACTAAGATTATAAAGTTTGTATTTAAAAAAAACAAAAAGTACAAATTCTGAAGAAAAATAAGAATCCATTATAATTCTATACCCATTCTCTGTTGTTATTGTGTTGTTGTGGTTATGGTTGTCAAGTCACCTGCAACTCATAGTGACTATATATGTACAACAGCTCTGAAGCCTGCCCTGTCCTGTGCCAGTCTCACTGACTCCAGCACACCTACCTACATTGTCCTAGTCACTGTATTAATCCATCTCAATCCGGGGTTTCCTCTCCAGCACTGTCACTCCACCTTTCTGAGCATGAATGTCCTTCTCCAAGAAGTGGTTACTCCTGGCTGCGTCCCCAAAGTACCCCTAAAACTAAGGTAGTTAACTCAAAACAAACAAATAAAAACACTTCTGTCAAATGAATATGAACTCAAAGTGATCTTACAGAATAAAGGAGACCTGCCTCATAGGGTTTCCAAGGCTGTAATGTTTCTAGAAGCAGAACGCCACAGCTTTCGTCTAGGAAGCAGCTGGTGAGTTCCAAATGGGATCTTTCCATTAGCAGCTGAATGTTACAGCCACTGTGCCACTCAAGAGCCTTACTTATAAAAAGTAGAACAAAAGACTTAAATTCTGTAGAGAATTTTCTTTCTTCTTTTAGGCTAAGTCAGGGGTAATCTTTGTTTTTCTAGTCTAATTCAGAGTTTAGGAAACAGTCAAGGGCAGTTCAACAGACCTGTTTCTTGAGGTTTAACGTCAGAACCTAAACAATGATAAAGATGCAACCGTGTCTTTTTGTTTCTCTGCTCTCATTGCCCAGGGCCAGGTGGTTGGGGTGCAGCAAATAGGCTGGATTACTCTTACGATGACTTCTTGGATGTTGTACAAGAAACTCCCCCAGGCGCCAGGAGAGCCAAACCTTCACGGATCAGAAGAAGTACTCAAATATCTGACCACAAAATTAAGTTAATTTTTAACATTACAGGTAAGAACACACTATCTGGGGAAATGATGTCCTGTAAAAGTCTTGGTTGAAAATCAATTTCTCAGTTCTTATTAGGAGAAAATCACTCGAGAACAAAAAACTGTTGTTGTTGTTGTTGTGTACCATTAAGCTAGAACCAACTCATAGCTAACCCTCCAGCAACTTTTCAGAGACAGTAAATCGTATGGGAAGAGACTTCCCATATTTCTCCAATGGAGCAGCTGGTGGAGTCGAACCGCATGCCTTCATTTCTATCTTGTCTTTATTGCTTCTTTAATATCACATGTGAATGTCATGGTTTTCATAGTAATAAACATGCTGCTTTCTTTTCATCTTGGCAGGATGAGCTACAGTGTGGGTTTTTTCCCAATCTAGAGAATACAGGATTGTGTATGCTGTAGTATTTACTTTTGCTGTCTGTAACTCTTGTGCACCTGTCTCCTTTTTCTTTATAGTTATTATACTGATCGCCTCTTAATACGTGTCTATTACCTATAGAGTGATGTCTTTGATTTTTAAAATGCAACTATTTAATATATCATACTGAAGAACTCCCCCAAAAAGTTGATGTAGATGACAAAAGAACAAGAAAAAGTATATTGTTCTTAATTTTATCCACATAGTAGTTGTTTGGTAAATGCTGGTTGGATTTATGTCTTCCTGAGATATCTTTGTATGCTGTTAACTTTCTGGTAAACGCTAACTCTGGATGGCTTTCTAAATCATCATATGCTTTATTTTGTTTTGCTTTGTTCTCAGCTAGTGTGCCATTACCTGAGGAGAGAAACGATACTATTGAATTGGAAAATCAGCAACGACTCATTAAAACATTGGAAACTATCACAAATCGACTGAAAAGGACCCTCAATAAGGAGCCCTTGTATTCTTTTCAGCTTGCCTCTGAAATGCTTGTAGCTGACAGCAACTCATTAGAAACAGAAAAAGCTTCCCTCTTCTGCAGACCAGGCTCGGTGTTGAGAGGACGCATGTGTGGTAAGAACAGCACCTCCAGCACTTAGCCCCCACCTGGGAACAAAAGATCCACTGCATTTGGGATCAAATGAGACAGGAAAGCCATTTACTACTACAAAGGGATATTGAAATGAAATGTATATTTTTCTATTATCTGGTGGTGGTTATTATTACTAGCTTGTCTCAAGAATGTATGTGATCACCAATGGTCAGGAAAAGAAACTATTTTAAGTGAGGGTTGACAATTTGTTTTATTCATAGATGATAGACTCCTCTGCTTTCAGCAGCAATTCTAATAGTAATCCCTAGTGCTTTTTGACCATTGCTGTATGGAGGCTAAAGACTATGTGTAAGCCTATTTAACGATTCTTTCAAGTATTATAATAATTAAGCTTATTTTAGAGACTAGAAAACTGAAAGTAGAGATGCTGGCCACTTACTCATGAAGTCTTATCCATTAAGATAGTAATTGGTGTAGCTAAGATTCCCACCCAGGCAGCCAACATCTAAGCTATAACTTTTTTTATAATGTAGTTGAAATTCATACAACAAAATTGACCACTTTAAATGTACAGTTCATTGGCATTTAGTGTTCTCAGTGTTGTGTATTATCATCTCTTGTCTTGTTCTAAATTATTTTATTTCCCCTCAAAGAGATCTCAGATTCATTACTAGTCACTCTCTATTCCATCTCTTCGTAGCCCCTTGACTTTCAACCTGTACTCTAGACTCTCATGATCTCCATCAATCCAGCTTATTTCTGAAAGAAGTTTTCCTCTTTTATAGTGCAGTTTCTTCTAAACAAGACCTGTGAATTCAGCTGACCCTAAAGCCATGAGTTTTGTGTTAACTGCTTTTCAGGCTATGGGTCTAGTGGTCTAGTTCCTATCTTGAAAACCTTAAAAGTTCCTTGTTGCTATTCCCAGGGACTAGTTGGGGGTTTCATAGTTTTATAAATCTAGCTTATTAAAAGTACATTTAACTTGATGTCATTCCAATCCTGCTCTGATTTCCTCCTCATCTTGTGAGTGAAAGCAGAAGATACCTAGACCACTGTTCACATTTCTCAGGGTGGCCCCCAGACCATGTGTGCCTGAACCATCACCCACAGTGCTTGTGTAAATGCAGCTCCATTTAATCCCCTTGTCAGTACTATGCCATCAGACATTTCAGGGTGGGATCCTACAATCCAAATTCTCAGTAGTTTCCTGTGTAATTCTTGCACATCTTCAAGCCCCAGAACCATGTAGGCTCTGACTTCAGGTGTCTTCTATCTAATGATACTAATTTTGCTAACAGTCTTTTTAATTTTTCACTTTGGTTTAATGGTAAAATAGATCTCAAAGAAAAAAAGATTCTAAAATTAGCTGGTTTCCTCAGTGCCTCAGAAATAGGGATGTTTTGGACTTGCCTTCAATGAGCAACAGTTTCTGCAAGAAGAGACAAGGGTCTACTCCACTCTTCTGTTCACATCTCCCTATTTTTGCCTGAATTTTGTCCCCAGAAATGATACTGTTATGGACAAGTAATCAGTTTCATAAGACGAAGCACTCAGATGAACAGCTGGGAAAGACTCTTTATTCTCAAAGCCCCAAAACTTTGTCTTATTCTTTTATCCAGTAGCTTTTGCTTTATTGCCTGCTTATTTATCATGATCTAGTTTATTCTACCTTTAGCCTGCACTTTGTAACCTTATCTGAACCCAAAGCTTAATTAATGACAATGTACATTTTCTATCCAAGAAAATCTACCACTGCTGTTTTCTAGGAATATGTTCTGGAAGCTTTAGCCGTGTGAATAAACGTCTAGAAATTTCAGACAGATGTACCTGGCAATATGCCTGATTGCTTCTGAGCTCACAAAAAAACAAAAACCTGCATGAATTCCTTAGCTGTAATTGACTGTGTGTCACGTGTTTTCTCTCAGTGAATTGCCCTCTGGGAACCTATTATTCTCTGGAGCATTCTGTCTGTGAAAGCTGTGGGATAGGATCCTATCAAGATGAAGAAGGACAACTTGAGTGCAAACTCTGTCCAGCTGGGACTTACACTGAATATCTCCATTCAAGAGGCATCTTTGAATGTAAAGGTAGAGGCTTACTATACATTTCTCCAAAGAAAAGTCTAGAGTTTGTTTAAATTTCTGACATCTAAATGACGGAGTGACATAGACTTAGGGACTGTAGTGGTGTAATTTTTAGTGTGTTGTACAGTTACTCCAAAGACATTTATTTGCGTAAGTCCTCCAGGGGCTCCTCAGGAGAAAAATGGGCAGTGTCCTCTCACTAAGATTAACAGCCTCAGAAACCCAATGGAGGGTCACTGTGAATCAGAATGGACTCAATGACAGTGAGTTAATTAAGAGCCATTACTTAAGAGAAAAGCAAACTGGGAGTGGGGCAAGAAGTGGGCAGGGAGGAAAGTGTGCAACAATGAATGAATGGAAATAAAAAAAAAATTAGGACGTTTTGGTGGCCTAGTGGAAAGAAGCTGCACTGTAATCCCAGAGGCACGCAGTTCAAATCCACCAGATGCTCTGATGGAGAAGGAAGGGCAATCTCCTCCTGTACCAGTCAGATCTGATTTGACGGTACACACACACAAAATAATAAAATTTTTTAAAAAAATTAAAAAATGCAATGTAAATGAAAGCATAAAATACAATGTATATGAATGAAACAAAATGTAAAGAATTATTATATGAAAACCAATAAAAATATTAAAAAACTATTTAAAAAAAAAAAGAGTATTGCGAGTCAGGGATCTGGTCCTGCTTCCACTCTACTGCAAAATACCAGTATGAATTTTAGAAAATATCACCATCTCTGTACAAAGAGTTCTTTGATACTGCTACTCTGCTCGTCCTCAGATACAGTGGGGGTTAAAAGTAGGAGGAAGTAACCAGGCCAAATTTTATTTAAAGGGGGGAAAATGCCAAGATATGAGGTCCTAGATCAAAAGCCCCTTTGAGTAATGAGATACTTCCCCAGAGCTCCCTTTAAGTAATGAAAATTCTTAATGAAGAGCATTTCATTAATTTGTTAATTTCATTTTTTCCATTACCGGACAGTTTCTGTTCTATAATCCACATATTTTCCCCACTTAAAAGTAAACCAGCTTCTCTTTCCTTATGATCAAATGCTCCTGCTCTTTATCAGTTCAAGCCCATTGTCAGTAATTCCAATCCACATCAATTAACCCGGATTTTTCTCACTAGTTATTGGGAAGAGCTTGAATAACACTTAAAAATCATTCACTTTTGGGGGAGACTGAGAAAGATGGGATAAATTATATATACTGCATTGAAATGGAGGAGGGAGAGAACTGTTTAAAAGGGATTTATGACTAGGAATTACTGTCCTGACAGGAGTCCAGAATGAAGGCTGCATAGTGGAGTGGACTTGGGGAGGAGAGATTTTATAAAAATCAAAGACTTCTTTTACTTTTCAAAGAGAAGAGCGAACTGAGGGGGAAGGGGAGGGCAGGGAGAAAAGTGGAACAATGAATGAATGGAAATCTAAAGTCTCTGTAAACTTTCATTAAAATTAATAATAAAAATTATTTAAAAAATTATTCACTTTTGTTAGACTAGAACTTAATATAATGGAACTATTCTTCATTTACTTGAAAATTAATAGCCATGAGGCTATTAATAGCCATATTCATGCTACTAAAACATTTAATATTTTTAAATCATTTTACTGTTATTCTCTTTGTCAATTCCTGATAAGAATACTTTTATAGGAAATTTTTTTTATGCTTTCCTTTTGAAAACACTGTCTTTCATATTTCATAGTTAAGGTTATAATTAGGCACATGTAAAATAAAGAATTTTAAGCTGGTGCCTTTTTACCATTGTTGTGAAGGCAGATAGGGTATTTAATGACAAATATAAAATCAGGACCAGTGGTAGGTGACAGAAGATGGACTAAAATGACTAGTAATACTGAAAACCATAGTCACTTCAGGACAAGGGTAGAAGGGGAAGCCAATGCATTGGGAATCTGGGGATCTGGTTCTACTTCCACTCTAATGCAAACCACCACTATGAATTTTTTAAAATGTCACAACCTCTCTATGTCAAGTGCTATGAGTTCTTTGGTCTTTCTGCTCTACTGGCCCTCAAATACAATGGTGTTTGAAGGTAGAATGAAGTAACCAGCTCAGTTCTTAATTTGTTGATTGTTGTTATGTGCTGTCGAGTTGCCTGCAACTCATAGCAACTCTGTACAACCGTTCTAAACCCTGCTTTACCCTGTCGCAATCTTTTTGTCTCTGACACACCTACCTGCATTACCCCAGTCACTGAATCAATCCATCTCATAGAGGGTCTTTCTCTCATGCACTCTCCCTCCTCCCTCCCAAGCATGACATCACTCTCCAAGGACTGGTCCCTTCTTTCAGCATGTCCAAAGTATGTCAAATGGAGCTTCAGAATCCTTACCTCCAAGGAGCAGCCTGGTTTCACCTTCTCTAGGATGAACCTGTTCATTCTCTTAGCAGTCCATGGTATAGTCAATACTCTTCTCCAACACCACAGCTCAAAGACATCCATTCTCCTTCTATCATCCCTAGTCATTGTCCAGCTCTCTGATGCATAGCAAGTGATTGCAAAGACCGTGGCCTGTAGAAGGCACACCTTAGTCTCCAGACTGACTTCATTGCTCTTTAGTACTTTGGAGAAGTTTCTGACAGCAGACTTTCCCAGTGCAATGCATCTTTTAATTTCCTGGCTGCTGGTGCCAAGAGTGTAGATTGTGGAGCCAAGGGGGAAAAAAAGCTGTTTACAGTCTCAATCTCCTACATCAAAATTCCCTTTCCCAGTGTACAATTTGTGATAGGACTTTTCTGAGTGTACATTTCTAACGTCATTCAACAACTATATATTGAACACTTTCTATGTGTCAAACACTGTTTTAGACAATAAAGGGAGTAATTAGACATTAGTCCAAATTTAGTAGTATGCAGATGCCTGGAGAAGTCTAGGATACAATATGTATACAAGGATAACCTGATGAATTCTTATGCTTCATTCTTCCCAAAATTAAAATGCAGTCTGTTATACACAGTGCTAATTTTGTACAGTTTAATGACATTGTTATTAACCATATAGCGTTTTTCTTTTTAGCTCAGTGTCAACAAGGGACCTATTCATCAAATGGACTTGAGACTTGTGAATCGTGTCCTCTGGGCACTTACCAGCCAGCATTCGGTTCCCGGAACTGCCACGTATGTCCAGAAAACACTTCGACTGTGAAAAGAGGAGCTGTGAACCTTTCTGCTTGTGGAGGTTATCAAAATCTTAAACACTAATATTTCTAAACCTAGATAACTCTCTCTACATAGATAAATTTTTTATTTAGCCATTCAATACTTAAGTATAAACACCAATAATATAGACATTGTACTAATAATTAGGAAGTTGCTATAGGGCACTGTGTGTCAGAAATAACTTGATTAGCAATGAGTTTCATGTTAGAAGTTGTTAGGTAGTGCAAATGGCTAAGCATAGGACTACTAATCTTCAGATTGGTGGTTCAAACCCACCTGAGGCATGACAGAAGTAAGACCTGGTTGTTTATTTTAGAAAATTCATAATCTTGGAAATTCTATGGAGCAGTTATACTCTGCATTCATGGGGTTATTATGATGAGTCAAAATTGACAGCAATGGCAACAAACATGCTTTTAGGGAGTTCCTAATTGATAAAATGGTTAATGCACAGAGATGCTAAACAGAAGGGTGGAGGTTCTAGAGCTACCTTGAAAGAAATTCAAAACTCATTTCTGTTGAGTCAGAACCTAGTCGAGGCTGACCCTCCAGCAGGTTTTCAGAAGTTGTAAATCACATGAGAAGAGATTGCCCATCTTTCTTCCAGGGAGCCACTGGTGGATTCAAATTGTCAGAAAGGCACTGCCTTTGAACTAGCAGTGCAGCTCCTTACAGACTACACCACCAGAGTCCTCTTGGAAGAAAGGTCTGCAGAATTACTTTCAAAAATCAGCCATGAAAAATTCTGTGGAACATGGATCAATTCTAATGCACAGAGCATTGTCCTCAGTCAAAGTTAATGAGATCACAGCTTGGTTTTTTAGTGTGTGTTCATTTTTCAAATGTTTTTGAGAATACAAAGACCCTCTGGTGACATTGTTGATTTAAATGCTTGGATAGTAACTTCAAAGGCAGTGGTTCAAACCTACTAAGGAAGAAAGAAGAAACGTCTTCTTCTGTAAAGATTTACACAGAGACCCTGCGGGACAGTTCCACTTTGTCCTATAGGTTGCTATGACTAGATGGTAGTGGGTTTGGATATTAGGAATTCAAAACAAGACTTGGTCACAGCTTTCATACAGTTACTGACATGTGGCTTCATAATATGATAGACATCTAAAACAGAAACTTCGTTTCCTCATCTGTAAAATGAGGTAGTGTCAAATGTTTCTTGAAACTGCTAAAATATATTCTTCTATAAATCGTGACATTTAATTTCTTCTAACTTGAACATTTTAATCAGTTCTACTCTGATTGCTCTTGAGTGTGAAGTCACTGGGGAAGGACAGAAACCAGTTCAGCCCAAGAAAGACAGTTTATTGAGAAGAAACTGCCAGGCTGAGTCTCAAGTAGTGACCGGAAGCTACTTAAAAGTCAGAGTAGAGTTTTATACTGTCTTACAAGGAAATTGGAAGTTAGGGTGTTTGAAGCTGCTCCAAGATAGAAGCTGGTACAACATAAGGAAGCAGGTCAGGGGTCATGGATAGTTAGTTATTCCTTGGAAATGGAGGTGGAAGAGTTTTACAGATCTCACAGAGATAGTTTCAGCTGCTGCTTTGATCATTTCCACAACCCTAACATTGAGATTCACCAACACATTTAAGTCAATATTTTTTAAAGTACTGAAGTCCAATCTCTGTCAGAACTGACCCATAGCTGACCCTCCAATGGGTTTTCAGAGTCAATAAACAGACAAGGGGAGCTGTGTTGGAAAATTCTTTTGTGTTTATGGGAAGGAGAGTGTTTCACTTTTCATATTGAGAGATATAATCTTCATGAGTCAGATGACACAGGGGAAGGGGTTGGGAACAGTTAACATTGTTTGCAAAGCGTTGTATTGTCAATCTAAAGGCCAGCTCAACTTCACTAGCAGATCTAGCAGAAAAAGGAAAAGGATTGACTATCTCCTCTTGTGTGATTTATAGCCTCCAAAAACCGACAGAAAGGTCAGCTATGAATTGGTTCCAACTCATTATTAATGAAGAGAAGTTTTTAGTCTATTTTTTTTCTTTTTAGCTAATCTCAGTACAGTAGGACTATAGTAAGTGAAAATCTGTTTTGCAGAACTGAGAGAGTAGTGCTCACCAACTTTAATTTGCTCTGAAGAGTTGAGAATTTCTCTATATTGCTATGATTTCAATGACTCGATGACATCTAACAATAATGATTGAAATTCTAAAACTCTGTTGTGTAATGCTGCTTTAAGTTTATTTAAATTACAGTTAAACAAGACTGGACATTGTAGTTAGTATAGATCTGCTGGGGACTCTTTTATTCCATCAGTATCAAAACTAATTTGGGGAGACAGTCTATCATAGAAAAATACTTTCTCCTATTTTTTCTCCAAACACAAAAGCAGCTAGGATTTTTTACAGTGTGAAAAAAAAAGTTCACACTTGGTATTTTGGTTTTTTTTATTTAGCTTTCCAAATAAACCTCAAGGTTTGTCTAATACTGAATTATTGCAATTAAGCAATTCCCAGAAAAATCTCTCAACTTCTGGTAACTAACTGCCTCATTTCTCCCAATATTCCTAGCACAACCTTAACCACATTCTGCTCAGCAAGAGTAAGAATTGCAAACCACAAAACTCAGCTCTTCTGTGGTTCTGAATAAACACATTTGACCTAAGCTTAACAGGTTCTAAAATGTGCCCTTTTATATATTTTTTTCCTTAGCTTTCAGCTCATTTCTTTTTTTCTTCCTGCATTATGATAGGCACGTTGTCCAATTTATCCTGTTCTTTGTAAGATGTTTTGCATTTGTTAGCAATTTCAAATAAAATCAACAATGCAATTATACTTAAGAATATTACTTCCTTCAAGTAATAATATACCTTCATGCCTTTTACTTTTCATCACTAAGCTCATTATCTACCTATAAAATGGAGATGAAACATTTCATTTTTAAACAGTGACTTTTTGTCAGAATAAGACTAAGTTCCACAGATGGTTTGTTGTTGCTACTATTGTCATTATTAGCACATGTTCCCATAGAAGGCAAAATTATTTGGGGTTCAGTGGACATGTCCTACTTCTTGCAGCCTTTAGAATGAAGCTCAGGATGAGAGTTTTGACCTCTGACTTGAGAAGCCCATTTAAAAAGCAAAATCTACCTGACTCTTTACATACTATTCTTAACATTGGCAAGAAGCATGATTGTAAAGCAAACATCAGTCTCTGGAAACTCTTTTAAGAAAGATCCCACTAAACCCAGTGCTGTTGAGTTTATTTTGGTTCATGGCAACCTTGCACTGAGTTTCTGAGGCTATAAATCTTAACAGGAGCAGACTGCCTTTTCTTTCTTCCAACGAGTAGCTTGTGGATTCAAACCATTGACCCAGCCCAACACTGCACCACCAAACCCTCCTTGGATCTTTGTAAGGAACATGTGCTCATGGCTCACTCAGTAATTACTGTCGAGTTAGAACCTATGCAGAGCTAACCCTCCAGTGGGTTTTCAGAGGCTATAAATCTCACAGGAGGAGATTGCCCATCTTTCTCCTGCCAGAGTGACTCATAGATTCAGTCCGCCAGAGAGGCACTGCCTTTGATTTAGCAGCGCAATTCTCTACAGATGAAGCAATATTTATTTAGTATTTGAATGCTCTGAAAATGGGTGGCTATGAGGTAAGTAGCAGAAAACCTCATTTATCTGCTCGCTAATATTTTAAGGGGGGAGAGTTCTGGGGTTTTTTTATTATTTTATTAGCTTTTGCTTATGAATTTGTATCAACTCATTGTAAAAAATATACATAAAATTATATTTACAAAATATTTTCCTTTTAACCTATATTAAATTAATTTATTGTACCAGTTATTTGAAATTAGGCTTTTTAAATTTTTTCCCGTTGAGTAAGTTAAACAAGCTGCACTGCAATCCCAAAATCACACAGTTTGAATCCGCCAGTGCCTCTGAGGGAGGATAGGTAATCTCCTTCTGTGCAATTTCCTCCCTTGAAAATCTACTGGAGGGTCAACTATGGGTCAGTTCCAACTCAATGGCACACAACACCACCAGCAGCGTTCTTCTGAAAAACCTCTCTGTTTGATAGGAAATGGTGTTAGAGACCAGCATCTGCCATGTAGCTATGAGTGGTAGCAGAATTATTCTTGGGATGATTTTTTTTTCCTGGCTATTTCATTGAACTATTTTAATTCCAATTTAAAAATCTCTTAGCACATTTAAATTTTTTTTCCTCAGTCTCTGCCATAGACTAAAATTTATGTTTAGGATTTTCCTCTTTTTCTTGACTGAGCAACTGAAGTTTCTTTGACCACAATTCTAAAAATTATCCCCCTTTTCTTAGAGATCCACTGTTGTGGATCATTGGTTCAGAATGAACTCCTAGGTGACCCTTCTTTTCAGAGGCAGCAAATCAAACGGGAGGAGATTGCTCGTCCTTCTCCTTCTGAGCAGCTGGTTTGTACTATGTACTTTTGGGATTGTAGCACAATTTCTTACTACTAGGGCATCAAAGATTCCTTAGTCGTCCTTTCAAAATTATATATTTACATGGTTTTGGGTTTGTATGCTTTCATTTGTATGTTGTTGTTATGTTCTGTTGAGTTGCCTGCAACTCGCAGATCTAAACCCTGCTCGCTTTTGAGCCAATTTCATTGTCTCTGACACACCTACCTCCACTAACCCAGTCACTGAGTCAATCCATTTCATTCAGGGTCTTCCTCTCCTGTGCTGTCCCTCCACCTTTCCAAGCATGATGTCCTTCTCTAAGGACTGGTCTCCTCCTGGCAGCATGGCCAAAGTGTGTCATTGGAGCTGCAAAATCCTTGTCTTCAAGGAACAGCATGGTTTTACCCTTAGCAGTCCATGGTATATTCACTACTCTTCTCCAGCACCACAATTCAAAAGCATTGATTCTTCTCCTATCATCCTTAGTCATTGTTCAGCTCTCTGATGCATAGCAAGTAATTGCACAGATCATGGCCTGGATTGGGCGCAACTTAGTCTTGAGACTGGCATCACTATTTTTCAGTACTCTGGAGAGGTCCGTGATAGCATATTTTCCCTATGGAATTTGTCTTTTAATTTCCTTGCTGTTGATACCAAACTAATGCTGTTAACAATCTCAATCTCTTTTCTATCATGATGCTGCCAGTTGGCCCAGTTGTGAGAATCTTTGTTTTTGATGTTGAGCTTCAATCCATACTGAAGGCTACAGTCCTTGACCCTTTGCAGCAAGTGCCTCAGTTTTGATGAACAAAGTTGTGTCATCTGCATAACACAAATTTTGATGAATATTCCTCCAATCCTAATACCACATTTCTCTTCATAGAACCCAGCCTCCTGTATTATCTATTCTGCTTATAGATTGAAAAGATGTGGAGATAATATCCTTGACGTATACCTTTCCTGATATTGAACCATGCAGTGTTTCCTTGCTTTGACTGCCTCCTGGTCCAAATATAGATTTCACATAAGCACCATCAAGTGTTCTGGGATCCCCATACTTCTCAAAGTCAGCTACAGTTTGTTATGATTCATATAGTCAAATGCCTTTGCTTAGTCAATGAAACACAGACATTCCTCTGGTACTCTCTGTTTTCAGCTAAGATCTATCTAATATTGCTATTATGTCTCTTGTGCTGTGGCCTCTTCTAACCCTAGCCTACACATCTGGCACTTATCTGTTGATGTGATGTTCCAGTTGGCTTTGAGTCATTTCCAGCCAGATCTTGCTTGCATATTGTTTGATAATTTACACACTCTGTTGGGTCTCCTTTTTTTTTGGAATAAGAACTAATATGGCTCTCCTCCAATCTGTTGGCCAGGTGGTTGTCCTCCAGATTTCTTGGCACAACCTGGTGAATATGTCCAAAGCACCATCTGTTTGTTGAAATATGTCAATTGGATGCCTTAATTCCTAGGGCCTTGATTTTTGCCAGTTCTTTCAGAGCACCACAGACTTCCTTCTTCACCACCATAGGCTCTTGATCATACATTGTTTCATGAATTTTTTCTTTGTCAGCCAATTTGTTTTGGTATAATGATTCTGTGTATTCCTTCCATCTTCTTTTAATGCTTCGTGGGTCATTCAACATTCTGCCCACAACATCCTTAAGTATTACAACTCAAGGCTTGCATTTTTTCTTTAGTTCCGTCAGCTTTAGAAATGCTGAGCGTGTTCAACCCTTTTCCCAACTCCAGCTCTTTGCACATTTCATTATAATGCTTTGCTTTGTCTTCCATGCTGCCCTTTGAAATCTATCCACCTACTTAATATCTTGATTTCTTCCCTTTGCTTTGGCTTCTCAGTGCTCTTGTGCAATATTCAAAGTCTCTTCCGACATCTATTTTGATCTTCTTTTTCCATCGTTGCACTGACCTTTTGCATTCTTAGTGGATAATATTCATGATATCCTCCCACAGCTCATCTGGTCTTCACTCATTAGTATTCAAGGCCTCAAACCTGTTCCTGAAATGATCTTTAAATTCAAGATTGATAACTCAAGGTCAAACTGGTTCTTGTGGATTTGATTTGATTTTCTTTTGCTCCTGGTTGTACCTGCATACTAGTAGTTGATGATCTGGTCCACAATTAACACCTGGCCTAGTTTTCACAGCTGAAAATGAGCTTCTCCAGTGATTTTTTTCTATGGTTGTAATCAGTCTGATTTCTGTGTAGGCCATCAGGTGAGGTCCAATGTAAGTCGCCATTTGTGGTTTTGATAAAAGGGATTTTGCAATGAATAAATTATTGATTATACAGAATTCTATCATTCTCTCTCCAGCCTCATTTCTGTCACTGAGTCTGTGTTTTCTGATTACCAATCCTTCTTCTCCATTCCCAACTTTTGCATTCTAGTCATCCATTATTAGTGCATCCTGGTTGCATGCTCTGTTGGTTTCAGATTGCAGCAGTTGGTAGAAGTCATCAGTTTCCTTCTTTTGGGCTCTGGTTGTTGATGCATAAATTTGAATGATAGGGTGTGTGTGTGTGTGTGTGTGTGTGTGTAATACTATGTTATATGCTATATAAAACAGGAGAAAGCTTGCCATCAAATCGGACTCATTATGACCCTCCATCAGGTTTCCATGGTTTTAAATTGTAATCCAAGACTGCCCAACTTTCTCCGATAGCTGCTGCTGCTTTCAAACACGTTATGCCTCAAGGCCCCTTGTATAGACTTTTTGGTAGTTGCAATCCATCAGTGACTCTCAGGTAGAAGGATAGGCAGTATCTTCTGTATTTTACAGCCTCAAAAACCCAAAGTGGTGTCAGCTGTGAGTCAGTCTAACTCTTTGGCAGTGGATGAGTGATTTTGTATATGTGCATGTTTATGCATGGGAATTAACTTCATACTTATTTTTATACTTAAATACTGCACTAAGTGCTAATTGACTGCTCCTAGTCAGGTAGCCTAGTGGTAAGGAACTGTTACCAATACAAAGGCATGTGGTTCAAATCCTCCAGCTTCTCCACAGAAGAAAGATGGGCAATCTCCTCCCATGTGATGAAGCTTCTGAAAATCTGCTGGAAGGTCAGCTATGAGATAGCTCAGAATCAACAGCATATAAAAACAATGAGAGAGTATATATTTGTCCTTAGAGTGTAATTCAAATTAATTTTTCTATGCAAATCTGTCTTAAACTTTTAGGCCAGAATATTTCAAAAGAAATTACAGACATCCTAGAAAACCAACAGAAATGTGTTTTAATCATAATATCCTAAGAACTATTTTTAAATTAGTGTTTTTGGCATTCTGTCACTTTTTAAGGCTTTATTCTTTTCCTTTTGAGAGTAACATACTGAAAATACATGCAAGGGAAGTTTCATTTATAATAGCTTCTGGCATTTTCTTGATAGAATTTCTTTTTTTTCATTTTTTACGTACACTTGTGGATATTCTCTTAAATACTTTATATCTTGAAAGTAAAATTTTTATGTTTTTAATTAAATATTTTAAATAACCCTTTGGAATGTACTTCTAAACAGACCATTATTTTTGGAAACTTACAACTTAGAAAAGCATTTTAAACTTAATGAGTTTATAATATGCTTGTGCAAATAACATCCCTCCAAAATAAAATTACATCAAAGAAAAATAAAAATTCTAATTTATGTCACTTTAAAATTAGCAAGTAAATGAGAATATTAATTATCAAGTACTTTGACTTAGCTAAAACAGAACTGGAAAAGTCATTCTTATATTATTTCATGATTACATGGGCATGAATAAAAACAATGGCTCATTCAATGAAGGCAGTAGAACAAAATTAAAAGGCAAAACAAACTGGCAAAAAAAGTGCTCTAATTATGTTAAAAGGGAGCTCCGGTGGCCTAGTAGCAAGAATCTGCATTGCAGTCCTGAAGGCACGTGCTTAGTCCGTAAGCTGCTCCACAGGAGAAAGGTGGGCAGTCTTCTCCTATGCAATTAACTGCCTCTGAAAACCCACCAGAGGGTCAGCTATGAGTCAATTCTGACTCGATGGTACACAACAATTATGTCAAAGGATTCACATCATTGATTTAGAAAAGAATTACAAAAAGAGTTCCAATAAATAATAAACAATTACATGAAAGTATGGATCTCTTTTATCTAGATCTATCAAAGGGGAGTCATCATGTTAGTAATTCATTAGTTTTCTTACAACTTGAGATCAACATGTTTCTTGTAAGTAGTATGTGTTGCTTCATATACACAAGTGATTTGTTTTTATCATTACAGTGCCTTGTCCAGTGGGAGAATTCTCACGTTCTGGGTTAATGCCGTGTTATCCGTGTCCTCGTGACTACTACCAACCCGATCCAGGGAAGTCCTTCTGCTTATCTTGTCCATTTTATGGAACTACAGCAATCACTGGCGCCACATCCATCACAGACTGTTCAAGTAAGATGATACAGATTATTTCTTATGTAACGACATGGAGACTGTCTTGTTTCTGCGGGAGATTTGTTCAGAATATTACTTATCTGGACTTGTGAGATTGTCTTTGATACCTATTGGTAAGAGTATCTCTAAGATTTGTGTTTGGAGTATGTTAAATGTGGTAATGTCTAAATTTGCTTCTGAAAGTGTAGTGTTGAATGACACATCATCCATACCTGTTCACATGCTCTTTTTTCGTATTACTGAAAAAATATAGTGAGATTTTGCCTACTCTGAACCAGAATCTTGACTGTGTTATCTGTCTACAGTCTGCTAATTGGCAATAGCTACCAAAGATTGACATGTTTTTATATGTGTTTTATCAGCTTTTAGTTCCGCTTTCCCTGCAGCAGAAGAGAGTGAAATACCAGAAGCCCCTACTGGACTCATCAAAAAGAAATATGTCGTCAGCAGCCAGGCAAGCCCATTTTCCAATGATGAAATTCTCTAGAGTGGAAAGTTTGAGAAATACCTTGTCATTATACATGTAATTCAGAGGAAAATTGTTCGAATTGAAACTTTATCTAATCAAGATTGATGAGCATTCTAAATTAATAAGTGTACTGATTTGTGACTTCCAGTAAAAGCTTCCCCAAAATGCTGCACTAGATGAAATTCTAAGTGTCAAAAATTACCAGCTTTTCCTGGCAGCATCTATTAATGCCTTTTGATTCACTAACAGTTAACACTTCCCACAGCCTCACCATTTGAGTAAATTCTGTTAGTTTTTTTGCTTTTTTTTTTAAATTGTGTTAGTTTTATCGAGTCTAAACATAGCTGACCCCCCCAGAGCTCTTCAAAGGCTGTAAACCACACAGGAGGAGACTGGTGGAGCCAAAAGCCTGTTCCGATTGGCAAGGGTTGTTGCTCAGTTGTAATTAAAATTATTTCATTTTCTTTCTCCTGGGCAGGGGGCGGGGGGGGGGAGGGAATTCTGTTTTAATTGTCTCTGGGATTACAGTGCAGCTTCTTGCCACTAGGCCACCAGAGCTCCCTTATTTTAATTATCTCAACAATTAGTTGACTAATATGAGGGTCAAATTTTGTTTTAATCTACTCAAATAATGATTTCCCAATTTTTTTAAAGATTCCCTTTTAAGTATGATTATTTTCCTAGATTCTATATTCACTTTGCATATCATGAGTTCCTTTGTCTTTACTGTTTTCAGAGAGGTTTTTCTTTTAGTGTTCTTTTTACTATTATTTAAAGGAAAGTTTTCATTCAACTATTCATACAGATATTGTTTTATAATATTAATTACAATATCCACATAGTAATTACATTTTAGACACTTTCTGTAATTCTCCATTCAATTAATTCTTGTCTAACTCTTGGGAGCTCTGGTAGCCTAGTGGTAAGAATCTGCACTGTAATCCTGAAGGCATGCAGTTTGAATCTGCCAGCTATTCCATGGGAGAAGGATGGGCAATCCTATGTGATTAAACTGCCTGTGAAAACCTCCTGGAGGGTCAGCTGTGGGTCAGTTCTGACTCGATGGTACACAACAACAACAACTACTACCACCAACTTCTGACTGGCTTTGGGGCTCTTTCCTGTGGCAAATGCCACTCTTTGACCTTAATTAATTATTAATTATTCTAAGGAGTGAGTGCCTCTTTGATGTTATTGGTCATCCTAGAGCTTACGTAGCTGAAAATTAAGTTTTGCTCCCAGCATGAAGGCTTAATAGGGACCATAACTTCCTGTGGGACCAGTAAGCCTAACTCTTTTAAGTTTTGTCCCACATTTCCCCCCCCCACCCCATCCAGGATCTTCTACTGTGATCCCTTTTCATAATATTATAGTTGTATTTCTTATTTTAGTTTCCTAGAGTCTAGTCCAAATATAATAACTTATGCTTGAAATGGAACCTAGTAAATGTAAAAATGTATGGGAAGCCCAAGAGCAATGGCTCTAAATCTTGGAAACATATTTGAAACCAGTGGCTTACTTTTAAAAATAAAGATTCACACCGTTTCTGACTTAGATGATCTCTCTTTTGGGAGTCTGAGTGTTATGTATGTATAACACACATCTCAGATGGACTGTAACATGCACCCATTATCTAGAAATACTGCTTAGGTTTACCAGCATGTTAGTCAAGAATGAAAGATATTATGTGTGCCTGTACATGGTAGATAATAGCATAATACAGGCAGCAGTCCAGTTAATTGAGTGAACTCATTCAGAAACAAGGACCAAATGTCTAATGTTGCAAACCTATTAACTCCCTCTTCAGATTACTTTGAAATTAATACAGAGTACTTTGTCTCTGATACATTTCTTTTCTGCCACTGGTAGGTTTTCCATGAATGCTTCTTAAATCCTTGCCATAATAGTGGAAGCTGCCAACAACTTGGACGTGGTTATGTTTGCCTCTGTGCACCTGGATATACAGGTAACATGGAGGAATAGAAATTGTCATATATTTTTATGTGAAATCATTGTGCCTTTGTAATTTCAAGCTACATTGAAAAAACATATCTTGTAAGATCTATTGTTGGTATTAGGTATTGTTGAGTAAATTCTACTCTAAGTGGCAGAGTATAGTGTCCCCCAGCTCAAAGTTTGATCAGCTGTAACTTTGATGGAAGCTGATCATTGGGTCTCTTCTCTTGCCTCTGCTGAGTACATGTTCAAATTGTCACGTTTTGGTTAGCATTTGAGTACCTAGCCATTGTTCCATGAGTGTTCCTTGTAAAGTACATTAGACCATATCAGTATACAAAGATTTGATTGAAAAATAGAAATAAATGGGTGGGAAAAGTGTACAAACCTCACAAACAGTAATTATCTTTGTCCATTTGAAGAAGACCTGATGGTATAATGGTTAAAGAGCTCAAATGTTAGCTGAAAGATGGGTGGTTCAAACCTACCAGTCATTCCAAGGGAGAAAGATAGGGCATTCTGCCTCCATAAAGATGTATATATAGTGTTGGAAATGCTATGTGGCAGTTTTGCTATGTCCTATGGTATTGTTTCTATGGGATTTTCAGAAGCCTGTTATTCCAGAAGTGAGTGGCCAGTTCTGCTTCTTTGTCTTACTCTGGAAGCACCACTGAAAACTATCTACCAAGTGTGACCCTGCTGAAATACTAGTGACATAGTTTCTGGAGCAACATGCAAGTTACCACATTACAGCAAACTGACAGACAAGTGCTGTCCCTGTAAGAGCAAACTACAAACCTACATACAGATATCCTAAAACAAACATGCATGCCATGGGAAAAAAGAAAGCAAGTTGTCTGGCCTGGTATAGTGTATCTGCCAGTGAAAAAGACATCAGGCTGGGAAAGGTTGATGGTCAGCAAGAGAGAGGATGATTGTGAAGATGGATCAACACCGTGACTGTAAGAGCAGACTTGAGCACAGCAGAGGTCATAAATATTTTGCCGTATAGGCCAAGGTTAAGATCTGTTGTTCATAGGGTCACGATGAGTTGAAGTCACCTCCATGACACCTAAAAAATACTGATGCTTATAAAGTGAAATTAACTCAAATAACTGTTGGGTTTTGAGTTACACATTTTAGAGGAAAATAATAACTTTAAAAATCTCTGTGTAAAAATTCTATCAGAACCCACAATTTAAAATGGAATAGCATTTTAAGGTCTTGTTTAAGATTTTATTCTAATCCAAATTAAATGCATAACACTCAACAGATTGTCCACCATATGCACTTTTAAACTATTTCAGTCTGTCATTTACTACACATTAATTGATATTCTCATGAATAAGACTTCCTAAAATTTTACTTCAAACACCTGAAGCCTCTAATTAAAAAAAAAAACACCCTAATTTTCAAGGAAAGTGACACCCTTTATTGGGAGGATAGTCAGCGGGGGAAACCAGCAACAATGCAGGTTGACATTTGGAGCTTCTTTGTTTTTGTTTTTTTATTTGGAGCTTCTTGATGTCCCTTCTTCCAGGTGTCAGTATTCAGTAAAGAGAAACACAAGCTGAGTGGCAATGACCTGTAACCTTGCAACTTTAGGACTTTATATATTTTCCTAGTTCACACATCCAGATATCTTATTTAAAAGGTCATTAAAAGTTCTCATGCTTATTCTTGAACCTCTTCTGCAAATGCCAAGTATTCCAGTCCTGGTTAAGAGGACAAGTTTGCAGTCAATTATTAGCATAGGATTAGTTTATGCAAAACATGGTTACTGCTGCTGTGTGCTTTTGAGTCAGAATTGACTCATAGTTGATCCTCAAGCAGGTTTTTAGAGGCTTAAGTCTTATGGTAAAAGATTATCAATCTGTCTCCCAAGGAGCAGCTGATGGATTCAAATCCCATGCTTTTGGGTTGGGAAGGCAGTTCCTTACCACTAGGCCACCAGAGCTTCCTGCCAAACATAGTATAGCTACAGTAAAGACTAAATAGCACTAGTCCTACTAACAACTGTCTATTATCTCTCTTCAATTCTTGTGATATGTTATTTCATTTTTGTCTTTCTGAAGACTGTACTTGTTGTTATTGTTGTTATGTGCCATTGAGTCACTTGTGTCTCATAGCGACCCTTTGTACAACAGCTCTAAATCCGGCTCTTTCCTGAGCCAACTTTTTTGTCTCTGATACACCTACACCCAGTACTCCAGTCACTGAGTTAATCCATCTTATCCAGGGCCTTCCCCTCCTGCGTTGTCTCTCCATCCCCTCAAACATGACGTCCTTCTCCAAGGACTGGTCCCTCCTTGCAACATGTCCAAAGTATGTCAGATGGAGCTTTGGAATCCTTGCCTCCTTATCCTCTTTATGTATTTGGAAATTACATTTACTTACATTTTGGTTCACATTCAAATTCTGTCCAGAATTATAATTTTTGATGGGCAATAAACTATACACTTTAAAGTTTAAATTTGTTGAACAGAATCAATTTTCTTTTATACCACTTGTCTTTTTTTATCTAATTTGGCTTAGCCCACATGGAATATACTAAGGTTACATATGAAAATTATCTTATAAAAGAACTTGCTACAAAAGAAGTAAATGGAAAGTTGGAAGATAAAATATGGCTATGTTATTGTTGCTGTTATGTGCTGTCAAGTTGCATGTGACTCAGAGCAAGCCTATGTACAACAGCTCTGATCCTGTCCTGAGCCAGTCTTAGTGGCTATACATAATCAAAATATGAATACCACACTTACCATAGCTCACTTAGATGTTTTTGTGTTGTGTGTGTGTATATATGTTGGTGTTTCAATATTTATACATACTCTAGGCTCTAATAGTGTGTAAAATAAAGGATCTTGTTCTAGAATCCAATGATGAATGGCAATTGAGAAAGGTCATGGCATAGGACAGTGATTCTCATACTTGAACATGTACAGAATTGTCTTGATGGTTTATTAAAACCCTGAATGTTGGACTTCAGCCTCAGAATTTCTGGTTTATTAGATCTGGGAAAAGACTTTAAATTTCTATCAGATTTCCAGGTAACGTAGATGCTGTTGGTGGGGAATAGAGCACACTGGATCCACTGGTACAGTGGAGAACATGAGTTTCAAGCAGAACTGCCTACAGAAGCCTGGTTGCCTTCTTTGGGAACGTGCAGCTCTGACTGAGGACATTTGCATGTAAATTAAAATCTGGCAGGATTTAGCTTTACTCACCATCTATGAAGGTAGCTCTGGTGGCTTAGTAGTTAGCAAATTGCACTGCCAACTCAAAGGCAGGTAATCTGAATCTCCCAGTGACACCATAAAGGAAAGATGGCCATCTCCTTTACTACTTCAGAAAACCCACTGGAGGGTCAGCTATGAGTTATTTCTGACCCAGATTGAGTTTTTTGTTGACCCTCTAAGAAAAGTGGCCTTAAGTGAGTTGACCTTAGTAACAAGTAAGACCAAAGAAGAATTCAGCTTTTGAGTGAGGGTGATGGTAAAAGATATGTCAGACAAGGGACTTATATCTAGAATTTATAAAATACTCGAGCACCACAACAAGATAAAGGAGAATAATCCAATTGAAAAATGGGCACAGGATATGAACAGACACTTCACCAAGGAAGACATTCAGATGGCCAACAAGCACATGAAGAAATGTTC